CCACGTCCACGGTCCGACTCTGGAAATTATTATGAGTACTATGAGCTCCGGACGAGGTGCGTTTCTCTGCGTCTTATTGTCAATATGACCAGGTTGCAAAAACAGGGTCAAACAACGTGTATACAAGGAAAGGAGACCGCAACCATACAAAAAGCTACATCATCCTGGTCTTCAAAGCTTCGATTAAAAAATACAGTTGAATGCTTGATAAAATTTATATACATAGGTAGATTATAAGCATGAATTAATCAGTGGAAGTTAATCCAGCTGCATCAGTTGTGTTGGCCACAATCACAAGTGGTATCAGACTTTTCAAAATACGGACTTTAGCACATGATTATTAATTGAAGTATAATGATAAATTGATTTATGCCTTCCCCTCGGCGATTACCCCAAGGAAACGCAGCCAAGTCTGACCCTCAATGTAGTTGCTAAACCCTTTGAATAAAAATAAGCGACCAAATAAAAATCCAAGTGATATTTCTTGCGATAAATTGAAGCTATCGCTTTTTAATAGCTACGGATTTGTAACTAAGCAAGCCAGACATTTACGTGACTTGGTCAGTAGTATGGGGTAGAGTTGTTGATTAAATTTTTTTGTCAAAACAATAAATTGTAAACGAAGCTGTTATGAACTAGTTTGATAGAAGAATAACAACTCACTAAGTTTGTAAGTTTCAAACAGAGAACACAACGTTGATAATGAGAAGATTATCAAGATCCTAAAATGTTTGGTTCATGCCGGGATTCACCAGGGCATAATTCGTTGTATCCGCATATATGTATCTATATGGATAAATAGTGTACAGGACCACTTGTAACCATGAATGAAATTAAACCGACAATGCCCGTCGAGTAACGATACTTGCTCAGTTATTAAGGGTTAAATACCGGTGAACAAAGCCAGGAAAATAAAATTAACTGTCGGCAAATCCGATAAGGTGAAGGTAGGCGTACTGCAAAACAAATTACGAAAAATTCCAGTACAATTAATCACTTAGCGCCTGCCTTCAATCCAGCTATAGAATTTAAGCATAAATTATCGCAGACGAAGAACGTCATAAAAAGTCTAATGGTTTCACACGACTGAGTTATCTGAGAAGAAGAGATCAAAGCCCTTAATTTCTAGGGCTGAAGGAAGCTTAAAGTCTGCCACCAGACTGACGAGATAGATTTGAGAATATATATCAACAGAATAAATATATTTTATGCTGTTCCATTTTCGTTAAACGTTCAAAAGCATTGGTTTATATTCCAATATTATATCCATTATATGCTTCTCTAAGGTTAGCACAGCTTCAAGTCTTCTGAAAGTAGTCTTAATAAGAAAGTATAATAAGGATACCAAATACAAGTCAGTTTAAATGTTAAGATTATATTAAAAAAGGGCGAAACGCTAAAAAGAATAAGTTATTACATATAATTCTAAAACTAGAGGTATACCATTAAAATTCAAATATTTGGAGAAGACCAACGTAAAATTCCAAAATAATTTAAATTATACTCACTAGCGCCATTTCGGCAAGAGAGTCTCCACCAATAGCAGAAAAGGTAAGATACGTAAGAGCATGGGGAACTGACGCATTTACTTCCAGGCCAATTGCATGCATTAAACCGAGTCCCAATTGGCCACGGGGATTTCCTTCCTTTGAGAGAGCGGTAAATGCAAGGTAGGCTGAACGAATTGACTGGGGCGCAATGTATCCAAACAAGTTCATCATTGCCACTTCTTCCTTGGATTTTGTGTGACCCAATTCTGCAGCCTCGAGAAGAAGTGAATATGCTCTGAACGATGATAAAATAGTTACTAACAAAGCTTACATTTTGAAGGAAGAACTACGAGAATAAGTACGATTTAGAAGTTTCAT